GTCTCTGAGTCACATCCTGAGAGCGTCTGCATCACATGACCAGGTATGCACACACACACATAGGTAAAGCTCAGCAGGTAAACTTCAGGTTAAACATCTCCTCCTCCACAGAGAGTCTGTCATGATTGGCTGGTGCAGCGGCGTGCTCAGCAGGACGCTCGCACGCCTGACAAGATGAAAAGGAACCAATCACTAATCGCCAACGGCAACCTGAGTTTAGAGGAGAAGAAGAGGAAGATCTCGAGGAGTCTTCGTTGCCTGGAGGGGCGTGGCATCCTGACTCCGCCCCACAGCGAGAACCAGATCCTGCAGATGATCGCTAAGGTGAGCTCACCTGACCTATGACTGACCATGTGATCACTGAGGATGGTTAAGTAGAACGACCAATCAGACCTCGGCCTCAGCAGGAAGCAGACATTATTTAAAGTTCTTTTGGTAACATTTTTCACAGCTGGCTTTTCTTCTGAAGGCCTGAGATCACAAAGCACTTCCTGTTTTCAATTTGCCCCACCCCCTCAGGACATCCGTCAGCAACGCCTTCACCGTCAGCGACGAGGGGCGGAGCTTCAGAAGCTGAATCAGACTCTCAGCAGTCTGCAGGTGAAGAGCAGCTTCCACAGTGAACAGGTGGACTACTACAGACATTACATCACTTCCTGTCTGGACAACCTAACCACCAGCAGGTACACAGACACACACACGCACGCACACACGCACACATCTGACATCCTAAACTCTCATTGGCTGATTGTAAGTCTCATGTGGCAGTATAAAACACCCTCTGATTGGTTGTGTGTTTCAGTAAACTGACCAATAAGAAGGCAGCAGAGAGCAAAGTGAAGAAGAAGCTTCCTGCTCTGAGCTACAGCGCCGCCCGGCTGCAGGAGAAGGGAGTGCTGCTGGAGATCAGTGACCTGCCACACACACAGTAAGAACACACACACACACACCACACACACACACACACACACACACACACACACACACACACACACACACACACCACACACACACACACACACACACACAGTAAGTTCTAACTGATCTGATCCGTTCCAGGTTTAAGAACGTCGTCTTCGACATCACTCCTGGACCAGAAACAGGAAGTTTCAAAGTAAAAGCACGATTCCTCGGTGTTGAGATGGAGGAGTTCCTGCTCAAATACCAGGTAAAAACCAGGCCAAATTCTGGGCCCAACCAGGCCAAATACTTTTGGGCTTTTCGTGCCTTTGTTGTAGAGATAGGTGGATACAGTCTGAAATCAGGGGGAGAGACTGGAGAATGACATGCGGGAAAGGAGCCACGGTTGGGATTCAAACCTGGGCCGCCCGCTTGGAGGACTACAGCCTCCATACATGGGGCGATACATGATCTGTGTTTGAACACTAAATATAATTGAACTGCTCTATGGGTCTCTGTCTACTAATGTAGAGTATATTTTGTTTTGTTGTTGCTTGTCATCGTGGTTTTATGTAACTTAGTTTTCCTGTTTACCACCAACCTGCCACGGGACTACAGATGGAAATGAGCCTGTGGCTATAATCTGGGATATTCACATTTTTATGTTCATTAATGTGCACTGTCCCTATTTTAAAGAAAGAAATAAACTTCTGAACAACAAATGTATGTGTGTGTTACAGGACCTGCTGCAGCTGCAGTACGAGGGTGTGGCAGTGATGAAGATGTTCGACAAGGCGAAGATCAACGTCAACCTGCTCATCTTCCTCCTCAACAAAAAGTTCTTTAAGAAATGAACCCAGTGACTCTCTTACCTTACACGCCTATCTTTGTGCTGTCTTACTACATAATCAGTCTTTGTGTATCTCAATATGTCACAGAGTGAAGTGTCTTCACTACACTCTTATCTCTGTTTTGTTGCACAATTTCATATTTTTATGAAAAACTATCATGTGTTTGATTTCTTTATCTACATCACATTATTTAGTGCAGAGTGAAATGTCCTCACTACAGTTATATCCATGTATGTCATTACCTTGTTTTGTGTGTTTGAGTATCTTTATAACTTAGAGTGGGACATCTTCTTAACACTCCTATCTCTGAGGATCAGATGGTTGATAAATGGATTTAAATGTCTCACTTTGTTATCTGTTTCAGGATCATGTTTTACACTACAGAGTGGGACTTCGTCTACACTCCTATCTCTGTTTTTAACTCTACACTTCCTGTTATCAGTCAGCTGATCAATAACTGTAAATATTTTCTGTCTCCTTTAAGAAACTTTAAAATGTTTCATCTTTTTTTAACTTGAATAAAAATGACAAGTTTTAAGTGAATGATTTAATGAGTAATCTTTATTAAACAGCTGTCATGTTTTCATCCAACAGCTGTGTCATGTTTTCATCACACAGTTGTTTTCAATAAACAGCTGTGTCATGTTTTCATTCAACAGCTGTGTTATGTTTTCATTCAACAGCTATCTTGTTTTCATCAAACAGCTGTCATGTTTTCATTCAACAGCTGTCATACTGAACCCGTGGACCGACAGAAGTTCACCTGCAGACTCACCTGTAGACTCACCTGTAGAAACGCATCATCGTGATCACCTGACCAGAAGGGAATCCATGAGCATCAGATTAATCCCAAACATTCAGCTCAAACTAAAGATTTCATCTGAATGTTTAATTTTACAGATTCATCAACAGATTCATCAAGATGCAACATTTCAGCTGCTTCATTTTCAACACATTGTGAAACATCGTGAAACATTTCAAACACATCGTGAAACATTTCAAACACATCGTGAAACATTTCAAACATCGTGAAACATTTTAAACATCGTGAAACGTTTCAAACATCCTCCTGAAATGCTTCAAACACATCGTGAAACATTTCACATCGTGAATCATTTCAAACATCCTCCTGAAACGTTTCAAACATCGTGAAACGTTTTAAACATCGTGAAACGTTTCAAACATCCTCCTGAAACGTTTCAAACACATCGTGAAACGTTTCAAACATCCTCCTGAAACGTTTCAAACACATCGTGAAACGTTTCAAACACATCGTGAAACGTTTCAAACATCGTCCTGAAACGTTTCAAACACATCGTGAAACGTTTTAAACATCGTGAAACGTTTTAAACATTGTGAAACGTTTTAAACATCGTGAAACGTTTTAAACATCCTCCTGAAACGTTTCAAACACATCGTGAAACATTTCACATCGTGAATCATTTCAAACATCCTCGTGAAACGTTTCAAACACATCGTGAAACGTTTTAAACATCATGAAACATTTCAAACATCCTCCTGAAACGTTTCAAACACATCGTGAAACGTTTCAAACATCCTCCTGAAACGTTTCAAACACATCGTGAAACGTTTCAAACACATCGTGAAACGTTTCAAACATCCTCCTGAAACGTTTCAAACACATCGTGAAACGTTTCAAACATCCTCCTGAAACGTTTCAAACGTTCTGTTTGAATAAAATGTTCAAGAACTTTTTTTTTTCTTTTACATGTTTCTAATCCATTTCCTCGATGTGTTTGTAGAATAAACTTGTTTAGGCAGAAATACAGGAAACAGAAACAGCTAGTTTATTTAAATATGAATTTAGAAAAAAAACTATTAGCTTAGCTTAGCATTAAGACTTGAAGACAGGGAAACTGTTGAAAAAGAAATGAAAATATGGAAAAATTGTTAGCCTATGAAGAATGAAGTCTGGAGAAATTCAGGAGCTAAACGGTCCTGCACTCAGCAGTGATAGCTAATGTTGCTAAGATTAGCTATAGTTTATTAACTTTAGCAATGCAGTCACTGTAAGCTAGCCTAAAGATTGAACTCGTCGGTCCAAACATTCACTAAGGAAGACGTCGTACGACAGCAGGCGTTACTTTGCCTCTACAGTAAGGGCAATGAAACATCAATCTGAATGTCAGACAGAGGGAACAGGAAATGACACAGGTAACAGACTGTGACTGATTTGTGCTTGCTTGTTAGTGGGTAGCCCTCTTGCCGCTGTAGTTAATCTATTAGCTTTGTGAGTCATATTCACGTCAAACATCGTAACGTTTTCACTTTCATCTTTTTCCATGTGGACGCAAAGAGATCAACAGGGACTCAACAGTTTTTTGTCTCAGCAGGTTTTGGTTCAACTCGTCCACGTGACTTCTTTGGTTACATGTCATGATATTCTGACCATCGATACTTTTAGATTTGAGTTATTCTTTTTTGAACTTAAAGTTCATCTCCACAAAATGTTTTCTTCGTCAGTTAAAGTTTGGAGATGATTAAAATGTCCTAACTGATAAATAAAGAAGACTCTATGGAAGGAAATCTGCATATTTCTGATTCTGGTATTCACATTAAGTACCTCATGTTTACAAATCAACTGTAACATCCCTGTAACTGTCTGGGATCCAAAGGAAAAGCAAACGATTCTAAATCATGTTCAAGTTACGCTCTGTTTGCTCGTGATGCCGTAGACTGTCGACCAATGATGCTTCAGAGGGTGTGTTCACTTTTCTATTTGCCATTCGTGTCATTTGATTTTGTAAGATCCACTAACAAACAATATCGGACGCTTGTTCATCAACAGAATTTAATGGATCATTTCATAAACATTCAGTGCTAAAAATAAACAAGCCTTTTAATTTGAAAATCAGTGTAAACAGATTTACTTTCATATTACAGAAATATCAAGCACTATATGAACCACAGAATATACAGCGCAGCAGGTAGTGTCACACCTTTCAGAAATGACTTAATAAACGATTCTTCAGAAATGACTCTTCATTAATGAGTCTTCAGACATGACTCTGCAAAAATGACTCTTCATTAATGACTCTTCATCCATGACTCTTGGTGAGTTTCAGGCCTCTGATTGGTCAGAGTTCAGCAGCAGGTTCATGTTTTTTTCGTCACATCAACTCGACCTCAGTGCAAATATTGCGTCTGTAAACATCGAACATGTCCACATTCTCTGTTCAGGTTTGAACCAATCATGGAAGGTTTGGAGAATACATCAGGATCTATGGAACTAATTTTACCCAGAATGCACCTTGAGAGGAAGCAGGATAGCTGCAGCAGAAGGAACAAGAATTCATCCATTCTGTGAAAAAGATTCTTTATGATGAAACTTTAATAACCCAGATTGATCCCATCCAACCGACCAATCAGGTTCATCCCTCTGATAAACAAACAATCAGCTGAGCTAATGAGTTTGTACCTGAGTACCAGTCTAACCAGTTTAACCAGTCTAACCAGCCTTACCAGTTTAACCAGTCCAACCAGCTTATCTAGTTTAACCAGTTTAACCAGTTTAACCAGTCTACGTAGCCTAACCATTTGAACCAGTTTAGTCCAGCCTTACCAGTGCAACCAGTCCATCCAGTTTAACCAGTCTTCCAAGCCTAGCCAGTTTAACCAACCTTACCAGTTTAACCAGTCCAACCAGTCTAACCAGCCTAACCAGTTTAACCAATTTAAGAAGCCTAACCAGTTTAACCAGTCTAAGTAGCCTAACTATTTGAACCAGTTTAGTCCAGCCTTACCAGTGCAACCAGTCCATCCAGTTTAACCAGTCTTACAAGCCTAGTTAGTTTAACCAGCCTTGTCAGTTTAACCAGTCTAACAAGCCTTACCAGTCAAACCAGTTAAACCAGTCGAAATAGTCTAATCAGTTGAACCAGTTAAACCATTCTGGGCCATTGTAATGGTATCCTGATGAGTGTGAAATATGTGAACATCCTCACGTCAATCATTCAGGAATCTGTTTCCTGTTCATGACTCATCACTGAGGTCACGTGGTTTCTTTAAAAATGGTTGAACTCAGAGTTCGGTGTTTGTACAGCAGAAACTATGAATGATATCAATCAACATTTGTTATCATTGTCCCCTAACCCTAAATCAATGGACAGGAAGTTCAGTTAGCATGGTTAGCTCGAGCAGCAGGGGAACACTTTGTCTCAAACTGAAACAAACTTTTATTTTGATATTTTCTGAGTAAATAAAACATGCAGCATAAATGTTAGCGAGTAAAGCTAAACTGTTGATCAAAACTGAGCTGATGTTTAATGAATTTGTTCAGTTTCAAAATATTTGAACTCAGTTTGTTCTGGTTTCAACCTGCAGCTCAGGTGTTGATTAATCACCTGATAAGTGAGGAGGATAACAGTGCTAGCTGACACTTCAATGCAAGCATTTCTAAGGGGCTAGCAAGCTGAGCCACAGACAGTTTCTGTTTCTTTGTTTTCTAACTGTAAACAGGAAGTCCTGATGGTCTGTTTGTGGACCCAGGAAGCTTTAATCCAGATTAACTTTAATCTGTTGAAAAACTCAAACTGGCTCAGTTGTTGGTGCAGCCCTTCATAATGACCATAATGTGGTTTTGGTCTTTATTAGGAAATGATAATCTGAAGCTTCACTGCCACCTGACAGGTCTCTGCAGTTACCCATCATGGTTCACTCTGACATCAGTCTCCATTGGACTCGATGACCTTCTCTGCCAGGATCTCTTGGAAGGTGGAGAGCTGTTTCATCTGTTCAGTCTGCATCGAATGCCTCCTCATCAGCTTCTTCTTCAGCTTGAAGTCCAGACCTCGTTTCGGCGAGGTAGGGGCCACAGGGACCAGGATCTTGTGTCCGGTGTGGATGGGGGAGGTGGGCCTGCCATTGGCTCGGATGTCGGGGATGGGTCTCTGGGGGTTGATGTTAAGTGGCGGCAGGAAGCCGGGCCGTGTGTGGGAGATGTGGTCCAACAGGAGGGTCCCAGAGCCCCGGCGCTCCAGGAGTCCCGGAGGACGCCGTCTCATGGTAATGGGGGACACAGAGTTTGGGATGTTCTCGAGGGACTCTCTGGACGAACTGGTGACCAGGGACAGGGGGGAGGCGTTGTACCTCCTCCTCTCCACGGACATTCGACCAGAGTCTGGGGAACCGGGGATGGACTCTGGGGCCAGGTGGGTCTCTGACTCATAGTGCTCCATCCTGGTCAGTTTGGGGTGAGCCAGGGCCCGGGTCACAACCACCCCAGGTCCCCCGCTGTTCTCCTGGGACTCTGGAGCAGTGTTCCTGCGGTACAGGATCTGGTGCTGCTGGACTTTGTCCGCCCAGGAGGATCCAGAGATGGCTGTGCAGTCCTCGGAGCAGGACCGGTCCATGAGTTTGGGGGAAGAGGGGTCATGGGTCTCGATGCTGTGCCGCCGTGATAACAGAGGTCTCACCGGTTCTGTGATGGATATGCCATTCATCTGAGTGATGGTCCTGCTCAGTTCGCTGCTGCCCTCCTCTTCCAGACCTCCATCAGCCTGAGGAACGCCACTCAGCACCGAGGGTGCCACCAAGCCCCACGGCTCTGAGTTCAGCCTCTTCAGGAGCTTTCGAGGTGGCGGTCTCTTTTCTCCTGGAGGTCGGGCTGAAGGTAAAGGTAAAGCTGAAGTGAGTGCAAAGCTGAAGATCCCCTCCTGGTCTCTGCCGGTGTCTCCTGCTGGTGACGAGGTGCCGATCTCGACCTCAGAGGGAGACATGCACGCCGGAGACAGCTTGTCCACGACGCCGGGTGAGGGAGGGGAGTTCAGGTACTGCTTGGTCTTCTTGGTGCCTGAAGGAGACGTGTCGGTGGTGATGATGATGACCTCCTTGCCTTTGGCCTTGCAGGCATCTAACAGCACCTGCAGAGTGTCCCGGTCTCCTTTGTTGATGGCGTGCACGAGGGCAGAGGATCCAGAGTAGTCTTTGAGGCTTGGATCAGCTCCGTTCTCTAACAGCAGCGAGACCACCACCTTCCCGGCCTGCTCCGCACAGGCATGCATCAACGCCGTCCTTCCGCCCTTGTCAGGGATGTTGGGGTCGGCACCTTTCTCCAGCAGGTACCTGACCATCCTCTGCCGGGTCTGCGGGTCATCGTAGCTCGCTATGCAGGCGGCGGAGATGGGAGTCTCTCCGCGCTCGTTGCCCTCGTTGATGTAAGCCCCGCCCTCCAGCAGCAGGCGGGTAAGTCTTAGCTTCCCCTGGAAGACGGCTTTGAGGAGGGCGTTCCCCTCGGTCTGCAGGGGTCCTCCATCTCCCATGATGCTTTGCCTCAGACCTGCAGTGTGTTAGAAGCTCGCTCAGCGCTGCCTGCCCGTTCACCACGAGAAGTCACATGACCTGCAGGAAAACACACAGATACATTCACATACATGTTTTTTTCTACTTCCGGCGCCGCTCTGGGTGGTCGCCTGTTACGCAGCTCCGACCCCCCTCGTTATTGTTTTTTAGTTTATTTTGTTAATATTGACTTTTTGTTGCTGTAACTTCGCGAGTAACTCCAACTCCAAACAGCAAACATGGATATTCTACTTTTTGGAGTATTGGTGATGTTTTTCTCTCTCTGTGGACTCTTTAAAACTTCCTCAGGAGACCCATTCAGTCACGGCTCCATTGTTTACACCCGTGAACAGCTGGTTGCGCTGTGCCAACCTCGGATACATCCAGCCGAAAGACCGGACATCCCCGCAGAACTACGGAGGAAGAGAAGGGGATGCAGAGCCGGAGTGAAGTGTCGGAATAAGAAAAGACAGTACAAACCATCCGTGCCGTCTTTAATTATAGGGAATGTAAGATCTCTCCCTAATAAGATGGAGGAGCTGACGGCGCTCACCCAGTTTCAGAGGGAGTACAGAGAGTGCAGCATCATGCAGTTCACAGAGACATGGCTGAATGAAGTCACTCCGGACACGCTCGTAACTCTGGACGGCTTCCACCTCGTCAGAGCGGACCGGAGCGCGAGGGAGAGCGGTAAGAAGAAAGGCGGGGAATAGTGATGTATGTGAATGAGAGGTGGTGTAACTCTGGGCACATCACCGTTAAAGAACAGCGCTGCACTAAAGATGTGGAGCTGCTGGCTGTAAGCATTCGGCCATATTACCTGCTGAGGGAGTTTTCACACGTCATCGCGGTGACTGTTTACATCCCCCCCTCGGCAGACGCTGCTGCAGCCTGTGAACTCATCCATAGTGTAGTGTCTCAGCTCCAGACATCACACCCCCAGTCTCTGATTCTCATCTCAGGAGACTTTAATCATGTTTCCCTGTCTGCCACTCTCCCTACTTTCACTCAGTATGTTGACTGCCATACCAGGGACAATAAAACTTTGGACTTACTGTATGCAAACACCATGGATGCAGATCATCACCCCTCCCCCCCCTGGGCCGCTGAAAACCCTGCTCAATGAAAAGAGAAGGGTTTTTAGATCTGGAGACAGAGAGGAGCTGAGGAGGGTGCAAAAGGAGCTCAAGAGAAAAATCAAGGAGGGGAAAGCCAGCTACCGGGCAAAGATGGAGGAGCATTTACAACATAAAAATGCAAGAGAAGTCTGGAGGGGCCTGAATAACATCTCAGGTCACAGCAGAAGGCGTGGGAGGGGCCCTGAAGCAGGAGACAGGGAGTGGGCAAATGAACTGAATCTGTTCTTCAATAGATTTGATTCTACTCCCTGTCTGTCTGTCTGTCTGTCTGTCTGTGTGTCTGTCTGTCTGTCTGTCTGTCTGTCTGTGTGTCTGTCTGTCTGTCTGTCTGTCTGTCTGTCTGTGTGTCTGTCTGTGTGTCTGTGTGTCTGTCTGTCTGTCTGTGTGTCTGTCTGTCTGTCTGTCTGTCTGTCTGTCTGTCTGTGTGTCTGTCTGTCTGTCTGTCTGTCTGTGTGTCTGTCTGTGTGTCTGTCTGTCTGTGTGTCTGTCTGTGTGTCTGTCTGTCTGTGTGTCTGTCTGTCTGTCTGTCTGTCTGTGTGTCTGTCTGTCTGTCTGTCTGCCTACCTGTCTGTCTGTCTGTCTGTCTGTTTGCCTGTCTGTCTGTCTGTCTGTCTGTGTGTCTGTCTGTCTGTCTGTCTGTCTGTGTGTCTGTGTGTCTGTCTGTCTGTCTGCCTACCTGTCTGTCTGTCTGTCTGTGTGTCTGTCTGTCTGTCTGTCTGTCTGTGTGTCTGTCTGTCTGTCTGTCTGTCTGTCTGCCTACCTGTCTGTCTGTCTGTCTGTCTGTTTGCCTGTCTGTCTGTCTGTCTGTGT